GTGTGTGTGTGTGTGTGTGTGTGTGTGTGTGTGTGTGTGTTTGCGCACCCTGGTTGCCTAGCAGCAGCACAGAGGGGCAATATCTAAGATTTGGACCTGATTGCTATCTCAAGTATACAGTGGGCATCCTCTGTAGAGAAAGTGTGATTCTAGGTCTCCAAAACATTTCTACTGCTTCAGCAGACAGATGGCATGCCTGGAATAATTACCGCACAGTTTTCCGAGCAGTAATACCCAGGACAGGAGGCCCCCTCCACAGGCTGCCCATGCTTATTTATCTAGGTACTACCTCCTGAGTACAATTGCAAGGCACAAGTTGCAAAGAGGTCAGATCAGGTCATCCCCAACTACTGCTCAGTGCACTGTCAACATACCACAAGTACTAGCAAATGGGCAGGACCTGACCCCCTGCCCCACTTTTCTCCAGCTAGCAATCCACTGAGTTATCATCCACAGGGACACAGCTACCAAGGGCAGGCCAAATTCGAGATCTTCTGCCTAAATCTACAGCAAATCTAGTGATATCTATGGTGTTGCTGTGGACTGACACTAATGTAGCAGACAGCAGCACCCTGATTCCACCCTGATTCACATCTGAACACAGAATCTGATAATAGCAGTTTAACAGGGATGGGATGGGATAGGATAGGATGGGATGGGATGGGAGAGCAGCTAGGGCCCTAGGTACTGATAAGGGGGGGTGGTAAAAATAGCACCACTGCCCCACTGCTGGCAGCCTGTCAGCAGCCACTGCCCTGTGCCCCAGCACCACCCAGGCTGCAGAAGTGTCTAGTTATGCCTCTGCTCCTCCATTGCTTGTGAAATCATTTATTTCAGTCCAAAGTGAGGGCAAGGTAAGTGTAAGGTGCTGGAAAGGCAAAACAGAAGTGTTTTTCACTGTTTGGTAGGACAGCACAAGGTTCAGCACAGCAGTGAATGAAGCCCTTTTTTCTGGTGTGGAATGAAATGTTACCCAGACAGGAGTCCAGCAAAACAGATGAGGCATGCACAGTCTGGTTAAAAGTAAGGAGCTGTGCAGGAAAACCACAAGTGTCACAGGAGACTTATATTTTTATAAATTCTCGCCCCTTTTTTTTCCAACCCGGTCTATAACTTACGGTATAATTCTCCCACCTTTCCTCAAACAGACAGCTCCACAGACAGAGCAGCGTGACTGGGGATGGGCGAAATGGCAAAACCAGCCCCCTTGCTGCCTGCCTTCCAGAGAGAAACCCCAGAGACTGTTTTGTCACATGTTGCTTTCCAGCAGTTTGAAAGAGGAAGGAAAAGAGAAAAATCGCTCTGACTTTTGAAGAAACAGACAAGACAGAGAAGATATCCGAGTCCTCACCGTTTGTGGATGACGTTTGGCACTGAAAGGCACTTGGGACGTGGAGAGAGCTGCAGTTCTGCCACAGGTCTGCCGTGTGCCCATTACCAACAAGCCATTGCTGAAAGAGAGACACGCGACACTGTGAGAGGTGGTGGCAGAGCGGGGTAGCGAAGGGAGAGCAGCATTTAAGACTAAACAATAAGGAAAAACTTGTGCTGCTCTCATGAAAGATTTGGCAAAGCAGAGCTTGTTAATTCTTGTTTTCTTAGGATTCAGACAGAGAAATAAGAAACCACATACCCCAGGCCATAAATTTGCATAGACACACACACGCACACAAACATTCATGCCCACATACTCATTCCTATTATTTCTTTTTTTTATTTACAGAGAATTGAGAAAAACTTCTCTACTTTGTCCTTTAGCTGCTTTGGACTCTTCCGCATAAAAATGGATTTTCTTTATTCTCTTTAAACTTTTGCCAAGTCTGTCAGGGGGAAAAGTGCTTTACATCTCTCTAATGTTCAGCTCTTTGGATGGCTGAATTAATGACTTGAATTATTTTGCATGACTTCCAACTCATTTGAGATAATTTGCTAAGTATTTTTTTTGGTTGAGGAAAAAAAAAAGAGGGTCCTTTGAAAACCAGTCTGGAATTGATTAGCTCAGCAGATTTTCTGCATTTAAAAAACCCGTATCTGCCTATGTTACATGTGCTAATTCCTTTCAGACCCTGCATTATTTGGGAACTGGTTCTGAAGAGGTCCTGAGCACCCTAAGTCTGCTGGGACTGACCCTGCATTTGAACTACATATATAAATCTTAAGCCTTAAAACTATAATGAATGTTGATCTCCTTTAGTATACGGTAACAACCCACCAGGCACCAAGAAGAATGACTTGATGTGCAGCTTGCCAAGATTATTTGGTAACTTGCTGCTAAAAAGAGAACTTTAATCCAAAATTAAAGGCTTCTACTGAAAGCTGACACCAGCAGGAAAAAAAGTGCCCTGGTCTCATCTGCCTATATCCCAGGCCCCTGAGTCTCCATGCATATTAATGACATTCCCATTCCCCCATGCAAATAAAGATCACCAGCAGAGAGAAAAATAAAGTTTGTACTTACGCTAACAATTGTTGAAACAAAAAGCAGCACCAGTACTGCAACATGAAGCACAATGATTCCCAACAACAAAAGGAGCATTTTGGCCGTAGTCTTGGAAAGATCTGAAGGGAAAGAAAAACACTTTTAAATGATAACAGTCAGTCCTTGCAGTCAGTCCTCCGCATTTGTATGTGTGCGCTGTATGGGCTGGGACAAGCATACTGTTAACATGGGGTGTGTCTACTGCAGGGATAGCTGCACGGGCAGGCGGCAGGGGGCGCCGAATCAACAGAGAATAACCCAAGGGTCTCAAGTTTAATGGAGCTAAGCACTTTTTATTAAATATATTTCTTCATGGGCAGAACATCTGTTTTGAGAAACAAATGCATTTCTGGAGGAAGAAATATGGGGCGATTGTTTAAAGCTCTAACTGGATTTAAAAAGTGGAAGTGAAAAGCTAAACTGGTTTTAAAGAAATCAAGTCTATGAAACTATCAAACTATGAAACTATGAAGTCACTGCAGGCTTTTAAACAAACGTTGAAATCCTGAAAAGTGCAGACTGAACTTTAAGAAAAATTAGACCAACCGTGGCTTGGAAAAGGGCAGCAAATGTATTGGTGGGGGGGAGGGGGAGGAGAAGTCTGTGTGGACCACAATAAAATGGCCGATGGCTTTATAGCAATGCTGTTCAGCATCAAGGAAATTCCAGCCTCTATCTTATTTTCCTTCCCTCCTTCCATATTTTAAGTGTTACCGTCTAGGACTTGGTGGCTCAACATACATGGAGAAATGCAAACTCCATTAAATTCCTCAAAGTTTCCATTTAGCTCAGCCTATCCTTGGAAGCCGCCAGGAGACAAAAATAGTTTTAAAACCCCCAATTTTCATGGCATACTGGTGTCAAAAAAATAAATAAAAACAAAAGGCCAGATTTCAAGCCCAACAAAAGCAATATTTGAGAGATGAAAAAACCCCACCAACCAGCCCCTTGAGCAAACCTTTGCAGCTCTTCTGGCTCTGCTAGTGGGAGCAGGACGAGACACGGTTATTCCACAAAGCCACTACACTCCCCAGTTAGGAGCCAGCATTTGGAGCCAGCAGCCGTCCTGCGATCTCGTCCCGACCCCGCCTGTCTCATGGCTGCAGTTTCATGTCTGTGCTTCTGACCCCGCTGGACAGGGCTGAGATGCACCAAGGGGCCTGCAGCGCCTCTGCTCCTTCCCAGCTCAGAGGCTCCCGGGACCCTCCCTGCCATCCCCTAGGCTGCCCCTCAGGGCAGAGCCCGGTGCCCTCCCTGCCATCCTCCAGGCTGCCCCTCAGGGCAGAGCCCGGCTACCTCCCTG